CTAATCGTAAATTTTCGTAAGTTTACGCTCGCGTAAAAACTTGCGGAGGTTTACGCCTATTTATTTTTGCTGATGTGATTCCTCTAGTATAGGAGTATTTTCATTGTCAGTGTTATCCAGTATAATAGTATTGATTTTTTTAGCTTGATCCATACTTTTTCTGCTTACAAAATATTGTCTAAGACATTTGCTAGGTTTACTAACCACAGAAATATTACTAGAATTTGATATATTTTTTTCGATATCTCCACCAATCACAGGTTTTGATATATCCTCTGATTTTAGATGCTCCAATTCACTAATCTTCAAAACCAATTCGTTCTTTAAATCTATCAATTCAAACTTGAGAGACATGATCTTAGATTCTTTTTTTAATATCTCTTTCTGGGTTGAAACTGCGTCATTCTGAGCTGTTGATATCTACCTTCTAATATTTTTTTCATAGACCGAAGTGTTGTAATTTCCTTGGATTTTATATCAATCTTAGATTTAGAATTAGCAAGAGAAATATCTTTGCTAGCATTTTCAAACTGCAAGTTTTGATTCTTGATAACAACCTCTCCTAGTTTTTTGCTCCATTTCTTTCTCTCCCGATCCCACTGTTTTCTTTCCCAACCCCACTTCTTATTTTGTTTTAATTGATCAGCTTTTAATATTTTATTGCAAGTATTTAATTCAGATATAATTTTTGTACCATATTGCAATTCTTTCTTAATATTACATTTGTCATCTATATTATTAATGAAATTTGCTCTGTTAAAAAATAAATATCGAATATGTTATACCTTTTTGGATATATATATATTTTAAGCATGATATATTATATAGAATATATATCTGTTATAATGTATCAAATGGGATATATGTATAATTAATAAGTATAAGATATGCATATTCAATATATTTTATTTTTCCCATATATTATATATTTTTTGTTAGATATAAATATCTTATACCTACAAAAAAAAAATATTATTTATGTTTATCACTATGCTTAGACCACGTATATGATCTGATACACCCCTATTTACACCTGAAAATTATTCATATATTATGCAATATCGTAATATAAAACCAAGATATAAAATTTTGAATGACTTGACAGATAAATATAAAACATCAACAAAGCGTATTTATCAGATTTGGAGGGGTGAAGAGGCTAATAGAGTTCTCTGGGATCAACCTATATTCTGCTCATATGATGATGACTCTAATCAAAATACTAAGTATCTTGATATTAGCTTTGCTAATATAACCAATTCCGCTGTAGATATCCTTCATATAGAGTCCCAACCTTTAGATAATATATCAACAGAGGTAACACTAGTCAAAGTAAAAAAAATCGGGTATATGTCTTATTTTAAATTAATATATGTCTGATTGTTGTTAAATTACAAATTCTCTATAGCCCCGATTGATGCAAATTTATGCAGCAACCCGATTTATATATAAT